TCCATTATTACTGGTTGCAAAGTACCTTGTGTGTCACCTAATACTGGTGTTGCGCTGTTCATCGTTTCTGCTTCACTGACATAATAATTAGAAGATGGCCGCTTCACAGAATTAATTCTGGAAGTGGAGCAGCAAGGATTTGATCCTGTGCCTGTGTGGGGTTCTGATGTTACAGGAGGCAACTTAACTTGTTAACTGTTGCTAGTTTTCATTTTCACTTTGTAAAACCATGTTAGTTGCCTGCAGGGATAGAAGGATAGATATTGGAGAGTGTTGTCTTGGCCTTATCTACAACAGGTAGAGATTAGGAGACAGCTTAGAAAGTCTTCACTTTAGCAAACTGAAGACTTTGAAATATTTCAAGGGTTGAGGCCAGATTCCTCATAAATCATTCTCTGCATCTGCACTTGGATCTGCGTAGCTGGACCGGGCCCCAAGAGCAGACAGCCACTGCTTCCCTCTGTGCACTCCGTAGGTGATGGCTGACCCGGAGCACAGCATGGAGACCCAGCGTAGAATGCTGCATCTTCCTCACCATGCTGCACTTCGTGGGCTGGAGGCTCTCAACTCTAACAGGTTCTGGCCTCCAGATGCCCTCTGACAGCTCAGGAAACTGATGAGGCTTGGAGAAGTCACCCCTAGGCCAGATTCTTCATCTGTGAGCTGTGCGTGTTGTTAGTCAGGGTCCTGACAGGAAGTGGGTGACACATGGAAGGTGGAGATGGAAGGACTTAATGCACATAACCTGTGACAGCAGAGTCAGAAAGCTCAGGAGGTGGGGCTGTGGTGAGCCCCTTGGTGGCTGTGGCTGACCCCTGACCAGCCTGGAAGGCAGAGCGGAAGGGGTGAGCAGAATCCAAAGGAGGAGTCCAGGGAAGAGCTGTCAGGGACCTAACAATGTGCCCTCTCCCCTGCCTGTCTGGACTCCTGCTGGAGCTGCCCCATGGCATAGGGCAGCTAAGGGTCTGCCCTCCACACAGAGACCCCGGAGAGATTTACTCTTATAGCCTTGTATGCGATGGGGGTGAATAGGGTAGGATCTCCAGTGTTTCCAGGCTCTTGGTGAAAGGGTATGGGAATGAAAGACCGGTAAGTAGAATATTAAGTGAGCGGTTTACCCTGTCATGCCGTGTGAGTCAGACTCGGCCTTGGCCCCTGCTTTATCTGAGGCTGCTATTGAGCTGGTTCAAGAAATTGTGCATCGAGATCAAAGCAGTTAAACAGATACATTGGCTTGTGTAAATATCCTTGAACTCCTCCCCCTGCCTTCCGGTCCGCCCCCTCTTGCCAACTCCATTCAGCACCTCTAGAGGCTGTTAATATGCATAATGATTGTAAGAAACGCATCTGCTTTGGTTCCAGCTGGCTCCAGCCACCCAACTCTGCCCATAGTTCCCATTGTAATCTCTGCTTGCTAGACAACTGCACGGTCATCGCTGTAGCTGCCTTGTTGTAGATTCTAAGTGTTGGTCTTTCTGTATTGCATTCATGGTCGCCCTCAGCATGTTTGTAACTTGGAATTTACCATTCCATTTTGGTATTTTGAGGATAGTTAGAAGGAGTCCACCCGGTGTTGAAAGCTGTCTTTACTCCATGTTTAGAAGCCTTGGACCGTTCTTTATCACTGTTATCTCCTTATAAAGCTTTCACATAAACATCGGTGGACTTTAGCTTCTGTGGGACTTACTCTGGTTTTAAGTTAGGTAAGGAACTAGACCAGATTATTTCACAGGCCTTAAACAACATTGCTAACATTTTCTTTAGACAAATGTGGAAAGTGAAAAACTGTATTAAATATAAGCATTGTAATCAACCTACTCTTTTTTTACAGTGATTTATACAAAGACCCATGCAAAAATTTTATCCATGTAAATGAGGTTTCAGTCTTAGCTTTTGCTGGGTCACTAAATGGGAACTGACAATAAATGTCACAGCATATAGAGCACCGTCAAAATTCAAAACGGGTAAACCATTTTTTAAGAAGGTCATTTAACCCAAAACAACAGCTGACTTTGTAAGAAATCTATTAATGTAATTAACAGATTATTACTAACATGAAGAATAATCATGGTTATTATTAATAGACATTTTTAAAAGCATTTGATGAAAATGCACTCTACGTTTTGGGTAGTAGCAACCTTTTACAAGGAATGTAAGGGAACCTTGTAAACATATCAACATAGTTTCTGTCACTGTGATTGCTTAAACATTTATTTGATAATCATCAGAGGCAGCACAGACTAAAAGACTGAAGATGAAACTCATCAGCCCTAGTAAAGCTCTTTTAGGATCCAAAATCCATCAGTTTCCTTTGAACCGCTTACTCAGATTAAACACTGAGACTTAGTTTTGAATTGGGGGTGAGAAGATAAATGCACAGCCCCACGGTATCTGTGCCCAGCCAAGAGGAACTTGATGGACAGTTTGCACCTGCACTTTTGTTTACAGTGTGTCAGATGAGCAAAGAAGTATTTCTTCAGCTAGAAATATTAATAACACAGACATAACTCATGCACGTAAAAACTACAGCCCAGAATAAAACACTCTATCTTTTTTTTTTTTTAAGCCAAAAAAAAGAATGTCGTTTTGTCCAAATATCATCCTAGGAATGGTTTCCTTAAAATCATTCCTATACTGTTTGCTAAACCCTTAGTACCAATGAACAGTATCAGCTGACATCAGGGCCATGCATGCCCTCAGAGGTGAGCTCTGTTACAAGGTGTGATATTCAGGAGAGCAGTGGGTTTAGGGCACTGATGACCACAATGAACCTTGCAGGACACGGAAAATAGGGTAGGTGCAGAAGAGAGAACTAGCTTCCCAGGCTAAGGGAAGAGTGTCAACAAAAGTATGGAGATAGGCATTGTTGGGTATATGTTTGTGATCTGTCTGTGCTCAAACCTGGCCAAGGATGATGGTTGCCTGAAGAACTATAAAAAGAAGAAAAAGGAGAAATCCAAGGCTAACCATTGGAGATCTGATTGAGTGGGATAAGGTAAAGCCCAGATATCCAAGCTTTTCTAAAAACCCATGGCTGTCTCTCTTCATGGTCAAGGTTGTCCATGGCTGTCATATAAGGGCACAGTGTATGGGAGAGTGCACTGTGATGTATTAGAGCCATGAGTTGCAAAGAGAGCGGAGGAGAGAACTTCCTCTGCTGGTTCACTGCCCAGATGGCCTCAATAGCCAAGGCTGCATCTGTGACTGGATCACATTTTTGAGATGAAGGATCATTTTACAGTTGGACATTGCTGTATAAGCATCTTGCTCAAAATCTGCCTCCATTGCCTGGACCTAGTGGGCCAGTTCTGCTCTGGGTGATGTCGGCTGGAGCTGCGGTCATCCTGAGCATCGAGTTCCAGTTGGTTCTTTCACCTGGGGCTCAGCAGGACCTGTCCACAGGGGCATCTTCCTATACTGCCCACAGCATGGCCACTGGGTTCTACAAGGAGGCATCTCAAGAGCAAGCATTTAAAGAGACCCCAGGCTGCAAGGTTTCTCTGACATTCCTTGGTTCATCTCAGACATGACTTCTGCCACATGTTGCAGTGGGTCAGGTCAACATTCAGCCCAGCTCAGATTCGGCAGATGATGGACTCATTCCCTTCCTTGCTGGGAGGGACAGCCACTGTTTTAGTTTTATTCCTCCAGTGTGAATGCCCCAAATAAATCAGAATCAGAATGAATAAGGCAGAACTTAAGGACATTGGATAGATGTCATTAACAACACAACTGGGGATTGGTATTGGACTGTTTGGGATGTTGCTGCTTGGGACATCGCTGTCTACTACCTGTATCTTAGTGCCTGATTTGAGTCCTGGCTGCTCTGCTTCCAGTCCAGCTTCCTGCCACTGTGCACACTGGGAAGCAGCAGATGATGTCTTGGGTGGTCCTGCTACAGAGTGAGTTCCAGATTCCTATCTTTGTCCTGGCTTGGGCCCTGGCATTGGAGGCATTCGGGAGAGTGAACAAAGGCTGGAATGTCTCCCCTCTTCTCATTTATGGTGTGTCTGCCTCTCCCCTACTCCAAAAAGACCTACAGCCTTCACACGCCGTGCTCCACTGCTATCCACCGGGCAGCAAGCACATTGCTTCCCCTATCGCACACTGCTCTGTGTTAAGTGGAGTTCTTCTCTCCAGGATCCATGCCTCTGCGTGATCCAGTAGCCCATGGTACAGAGACAAGGTTCACACGTGGTTCTTTTCCTCATAGGAGGAGAGTCCATCTTGATCTCCCAGGATCCTAATCAGAGCAGCTTCACCCTAGTTACTCTGTGGATTTCAAGTTGCCTACAGTGGCCCCTGGAGTCATCCTCCAGTTCCCCAATGATGCAGTCCTGGGAAGTAGACTGGAAGCATTGTCATCACCTGTTGTCCAACATGTGATTTTTATAAACCCCTTAAGAAAATGTGTAGGAACTGATGCACTATTGCATAATGTAGCAGTGCTGGCAACCCATAGGGTGTCAGTTCATGTCCTGGTTGTATCGCTTCCAATCAAGCTCCCTGTTTATGGCCTAGGAAAGCAGTGGAGGGTGGCTCAAGTCCTTGGGACCCTGAATGCACATGGGAGACCTGGCTTGGGATCAGCTCAGCTCTAGACATTGCAGTCATTTGGAGAAGGAACCAACACATGGAAGATCTCTCTGTCTCTCCTTTTCTCTGTAAAATCAGCCTTTGAAATAAAAACAAATAGATCTGTTTAAAACAAGTGCAGTTTGAAGGGAAAACTGAGTTTAGTTTATTTGATTGATATTTCTGTTTTTGTTTTCTGGAACACTTTGTAATTTTGCCCTCCCAATAAGATGCGGTGTCTGCAGTAAGAACTCAAGGGTGGGGGGCCAACATTGTGTCCTGCCGCACCAGTGAGGAGCCCTGTTGATTGACAGCTTGAGTCACAGTAACGTTGTGTGATTGACAGGAGTTGCTCACCTCACAGTTGAAGCATCTGGGATTCAGGGAATAACCCTCAGTAACTCTCGCCTCCTCTACCCCTGCAGGTCGTCACGCTATGGTACCGAGCTCCAGAAGTCCTGTTGCAGTCCAGCTACGCCACCCCCGTGGATCTCTGGAGTGTTGGCTGCATTTTTGCAGAAATGTTCCGCAGAAAGTAAGAAGCACGTTTTCTTTATGAAGCTTCATTGCCATGGCATGTTTGTCTGTTGTACCACCTGCTCTGGTTGTCCCCTCCAAGTCTGGTGTCACTTTGGAGTGGGCCTTCCTTCTCAGCCTTCACAGCAATTTTGACGGGCTGTACTCTGTGAATTCCCACCCCACTATTCTTGTGGTTGGCATGGTGTCTGTGGGCAGTGATAGACCCTGGGGAATATGAGGCATGGGGCTGTTATGGAGGTAGGCGATTTTTAAACAGAAATTGTAATGGTCAGAATGGTAGAGGAAAGGCTATTGAGGCCGGAAGACATTAGACAGGGAACATGGAGGATATTCTCAGACTGCTGTGCTAAGGAGAACCTGAGTCTTTTCCGCACTGTTGGACAGCGGTAGAACAAGCAAGTAGGAACCGCAGCAGTGCAGATGTGTACTCCCCAGAGGGGGACCTGTCTGTTAAGACAGTTACCTGGAGAGTGGGCTTGGGGTTGTGTGTCTTTCCTGGGTGTAGAGGATGGGCTGGACCACCACACACTGGCACCCAGAGACTGAGCTGACTGATTTCCAGGGCCCCTTGGAGCCTGCAGGTCTGTGATTCATTTGTTTGATTTGCAAGTCCCACGAAATAGCCAAACAATACAATAAAGATCTGCCAGGAGAATAATCCATACCTGGGTACTAAGTTCAACCCAGTCAAAATTAAACAGAATACCTAACCAAAATCTAATCTCTCTTCTATGCTTTCATTTCCGTGGGAAAATGTGATTGGAAAGTGGAATATATCCCCATGGATGTGCTGTGTTCAGAATCAAGTTCCTAAGAAACTGAGAGTCCATCTTTGCTTGTGTGTTTGGGCCAAGTGAGGTTTTGTGCATCTAATAAAAATATCCAGAACTCAGCCAGTTCATTTGTTATAGTGGGATCATCTCATAGACATGTGTGGGCTCAGATGTTTAATGTGGACCTACTGTGTGTTGAGGATAATATTCAAACACTATCCTAGATCACCTTTTTTAGGAGGTGTGAAGGTGGAGTAGTAAGTTTATTTGTATAACATCAAGTAGCTAGGAAGTAGCAGGGGTACAAATTCAAACGTCTTCTGAGTTCCATCCCAATGCTATTCTACCACAAAAGTGGGGATGGGGAAGAAAGAGTAATATGGGACCTGGCCATGCTGTTTATCATGTAGGCTGCAGTGGTAGTAATGAAAGCTTAGTCTTTAATCAGCGCATCAACATCGCTTGGGCCCTGGGTGGAAATGCAGGTTCCCAGGCTCAGCTCATCTCACTGACCAGAAGCCAGTGGGTTGTAACCGAGCAGTGTGATTTTGACAAGCCCTTCCCTTGAACCTGATAATGTCCTGGGAGTAAAAGTGGGACTGCAGTGCCACCAGGGACTGGGCCATCTCCAGGAGACAGCCACTCCCTGGAGATGCTGACTCACCACTGGGCCGCTGCCAGGGGTAATTCTTTCATCTCCTGTATTTGAAAGGTAGATTTCCCCCAGTGCGCTGGCTCACTCCTCAAGTGCCCCCAGCAGCCTGGGGACACGCCAAGCCCAAGCCCAAAGCTGAGTATTCGGTCACTTTGGAGTGGCCCCACATACTTGAGTCATCGCCTGCTGGTGGTTCCTAGGGTGGATACAAGACTTGAACCCAGTCACTTCAGTATGGGATGTGGATTCCAGGCTGATGGCTTGAGTCCTTGGGCTCTTCTGTCCATGTGGAAGACCTGGACAAGGTTCTGTGCTCCTGGCTCCAGCCTGGCCCAGCCGTGACCATTGCAGCCATTTGGGGAGTGAAGCAAAAGCTGTGTCTCTCTGTACCTCTCTCCTCTTCCTCCTTCCCTCTCTCTATTATTCTGCCTATAAAATAAATAAATACATCTTTTTATATATTAAAAAAAATTTAATCTATATTTGTGCCCAGAACTTGTCTCACATGTCATCAGCAGTAGAGGCGATAAACTGGAAACCTTCTAACAGGAGCTAGCCTGCCAGTAACTCCCTGGGTGCCTGCTAGGACGCATAGTCCTGGCAGAAACTGGAGGTGATGCATACCCCAGGAGGTCATTATCCCAGGCTGAGTGAGGTGCTGTGCAGAAGTACAGTGTGCTGCAAGCAGGCATGATAAGAAGTCTGATTTTGAAGGGTGGACATCAGGATGGACCTTCCTCGGATGTCCCATCCTAGCTGCTTATATAAAATCATTGGAGGGAAATCGCTGTTAGGCCCTTGTAGCTCACCAGCCTCCATAAGCCAGGAGATGTGGAGGAGCCCAGATACCTGGGACAGGACTTGAACCCTTCCGTGTGCACTCCCACACAGCCCACACTCAGGGCGGTCTATGGTCCTGTGTTTCTAGGGAATGAGTAAGAGCTGTGTACAGCCAAGGAGGTCCCTGAGAAGCTCATACAAGTGACTGGTCAGTGATCTGCCAGGGCCAGAGCCCTGTGTGGCCCACTCTGTGGTGTTTCCGCCTTGGCTGGCATTGGGCTGTGGTCCTTCATCTGAGCTAGTTTCTGCGTCACTGCAGTGTAGCAGCAGCAGCTGTACAGCAGAGAGATGAGACGTACATCCCGTGTTGAGTAGCTCTGCTTTTTAGGGTCTCCAGTGTTGGACAGCTTGGCCGAGTCTCTATCCCGCGATGCCTTCTCTTCTAAATTAAATACTTAGGAAAAAGAGGCTCAGTCAGGAGTGGCTTAGGGCAGATGGCTGGCACAGAGTCAGAGCACCATCTGTCACTGTTCTCTGGGCTTAATGATGGCCCACACTGACCTCCAGACACCTTCTACAAAATGGATCAGAGCTAGATTATTTTGCCTTCCTCCTTAAACATGTGGTGGCTAATCCATCTACTTCTGATTGAGTTACATGTGAGCACTGGCACATGTTGTTATGAGCTTGAGCAGCAGCCAGCTTTTCGACTTGCATGATGGGAGCAGACAGGTGTGTGCACAGGCTAGATTGGTTTCTAACTCATGGCAAGAGGAACTCATGGTGTTCATTGTCCAGGCATCTACTGGTTGTCTTGTGATCCTGGCCAGAGCTGTTATGTGTGGTTTGAAAGTAATGGGGTTTTCCAGGTTACAGCAAAGTCGTGAAAAGAAAATACATATTTCAAAAATAAGACTTGCCACTGGTTCTCTGAATGTGGAGGTTGTGGTAAACAGACAGTAATTCTTAGAAGTTCCAAGTTGCCAGCTCTGCTGATCCTTAGTTAGGAAATGCCAAATGCTACCAGAGGAACATAACAAATACAGTTACTGTTAGCAGGAAACAGAAAGGCTTCGTGGTGACACCGCACCTTGTCTGCTGACCTCTGGGCTGTCGTCATTGGTTTCTATGAGTTAAACACCCAGTAGCTGAGAAGTGAAATTGTCCTTTGTGGCACAGCGGTCAGCTAGCAAATGTCTTTAAAAGGTCACAGCATGCCTCACCAGTTTTCCCATTGGGTGCTGCCTTTATCTGAGCAATCTGGGTAGTGACTCCGAAGAGATGAGGTCCTCACCACTGATCTGCACACCAGGACACCAGGAGCACGCTCCCAAGAGATCAGGTCAGAACAGGGGTCAGGAGGCCAGGACACTGGGAGCACACGCCCAAGAGGTCATGACAGAACAGGGGCAGGAGTCCAGGCACAGCTCATATCAGAGTGTACAAGTCTTGGGCCCTCTGCCTCCACTCCAGCCTCCTGCTGATGCACACTCTGTGAGGCTGCAGGTGGTGGCTTGCATCCCTGTGTCCCTGGCACCCATGTGGGATACCCAGATGGAGTTCCAGGCTCCTGGCTTCAACCTGGCTCAGCCTCATCCATCGTAGCTTTAGCAGAGTGAACAAGTGAATTTAAGATTTTGTTCCCTCCCTCCTTCCTCTTCTCCCTCTTTCCCTCTTTGCATCTTAATCACTTCTTTGCCTTTCACATAAATCTATTTTTTAAAATTCTAAAGGCAACATCTCCCTGTAGACTTCGTATCCTCCCTGAGAAGGGAATCGCAGTGTTCTGAGCCATCTGCTGCTAGCAGCTTAATCCTGACAACACATCAGCTTCCTTTGGAAGGTATTGTATGAAGAAGAAGGGAGAGAGAAATCTCCCATCCTGTAGCTCACTTCCACAACAGGCAGGGCTGAGCCGGGCTGAAGCCAGGAGCCTGACACTCCATCTATGTGTCCCACTTGGGTCCAGGGGCATAAGGAAGTGGGCCATCTTTTACCACTTTGACAGGTGCGACCATAGGGAACTGGATGCCATGCCAGGATCCCAGACTGCAGCTTAGCACACTGTACCACAAGGCCAGCCCTCAGACCAGTGATTTTGTTGTTGATTTTTTAAGCATTGAACCACCCCCAGAGGAAAGAAGTGTTGTGAGTGGATGTGCTTGCACCCAGGAGTCCTGCCGACTCCACAGCCACACCAGTTGGCTAATGTTATCCATCTCCCTAACCAGTGCTTAGGCAGTCAGGGACCACCACCACACACACCTCTGTGAGCTCAAGGACATCACAATTCAATACGAAAAAGCTCTGCCTACGGACAGAAGCAACGGTAGCTGTGGCACACGTACCCTCTTGACTTCAGGCTTCTGGGGGTGAGTCCCGTGGAACATCCATCCTCCTTTGCTGCCCGCCGTTCCTAGGTCCCACCCAACCCCACCTGAGGTCCCTGAGGTTTTGTCCATTTCTATGCCTTCTGACTCCTTCATGGGGGTGTTTAACCCTCAGCCTGGGGGCAGTAAGCTGCCAGACTGGCTCCCTTTTTCCACCTGTGTACCTGGGCTCAATTACCATTCCTGTCTGGCACCTTTTTCCAAAAATGTTTTAAAACCGGTATAGGATTCTTGGCCCTCAAAACTTGTCCAGTGAAGACTCTGGCTTTCTTCTGGCCTCAGCATGCGCCACTCCCTCGCTTGCAGCCACCAGAGAAGGCCTGCTTCCTTCTGCCCTGAAGCACATCTCAGCTGTTCCCTAGAACCCCTGCCCTTCTCTCACTCTTACACCCCTGGG